TAAACCAAATTTCCTGGAAAATAAGATTTTGATTTTACAACATAGTGACTAAAATTTCAGTAACCAGTTACTACATGTCCTTTCAGAGGACTTCTTGTGTGAAACTCAGGCAGCAGGTTTGCAACTCAGCAAATGGAAGATTTTTAATAGAAATAAACAATCAGTTATATAACAAATGTTACAAAGGAGGAGAGTAAAATTAAATGATCATTTACCAAAGTTCGCCACAGAAAATTCTGTTGGAGGCAATTTTACTCTAGTGGAACCAATGGGTTAACAAGATTGAAATTGTTTTTCACATTATCCTCTGGCGGATGCTTTACGGAGGTAGCCACCTACTTCAAATCTTATTGAAAGTACTGCATTTATGTATGTTATTTGCCAGCTGAGAGGTTCATGTTGGACCTTGAGACAGAGGGCTCAGTTTTTCCCAATTTGGACCTCCATGCTGGTGATTAACATTTTTATTTTGTTCTAAATCTTCATGAAATTCCTGCTAAAATGACTGGAATGCTTTAGAGCTGTAATTATGGCAAGATCCTCCTGAAACTGAACAATTTTTGAGTGAGAAAATGGTAGTTAAAACAGAGATAACACAAATTAAAGAGAGAGACTTCACCAAGATAATTTTATTTGTGTAGTGCCGCTAAAAGTTGTTTAAAAGGCTTCCAAACAAACTTTGAAACATTATTTTTACAAGTATCTGTCACAATCTGACACCTGTCAGTTAGAAAGTGTGTTAGAAAAAACAGCATGTACACTTTCGAAAACAAAACAAAAAACAAACAGTACAGATTTGGCAAACAGACTCAAGTTCAATGACCATCAAGACAATGTTTTCCTCAAAACCATTTAATTATCTTACAGAAAGTATTATTATTTACTTCCATTGATGATTATTGCACAAAGAATGGCTCTGTAAATTCTAAGGAAAGTATTTGTAAGTAAATTCAAATGTATTTTTTGAAGTTGTGGGGGTTTGCTTATGTGTTTGCTGCAATGGTGCAAATCTGGCCTGTTTCCACCAAATAACTGAAGTCAAATGAGACGCTTTAACTAGACCCAGGGGGAATTTAATTTAGCTTTTTCTTGTGGAATTCATTTGTCTTTTTTTTGTGCAATTTATGGTGCAAATGGTTTAACTGCACAAGTTGACTTGCAAAGACTTACCAAAAGTGTATTTAAAGTAGGACTGAATATTTTGCTATAAGGAAAAAATTGATTGAGAGAATTCAGATGTTAAATGAATGAAAGTTCCATTGACTAATTCGATTGTAAACAAATATCTCATAGGTTTAACTTTCTGAGTTAGTGTTTATGAAAGACAAAAGTTAATTGAAAACTTTTTTTTAGGCTGTGTGTCAACCCATTTAATGACACATTTGCTACCACAAATTCATTTTGAAAAGAATTTTCAGCTGGCAACCAAAATGATTTGAGAGTGAGAGAAGAGACAACTAATAAGTTATTAATTGGCTTGATTTGCTTTGAAACACTTTGCTTGAAAATAATGCCCAGCTGGGAAAAAAAATTATTTATGGAGAATGGCAACAAAGCAAGGGATGTTCTTGGTATGGACCATGCTAAGAACCAGTCAGATTGTAAGATTTTCCTCTGAGTTAAAACTAAACATATTTATGAGTCAAGATATCTACTTTTCAGGTCTTCGCAGTGGAAGGATAAACTTTTTTATTATCTTGTATCTTTTTCTTGTTTGAATAACTTTTCATTTGTTCTCTACAGAAACTTCAGTTAGCGAACTTGAAGAAGCCTTTCAGCAGTTTACAAATAGAAGTGATATTGCCATTCTTTTGATCAATCAAAATGTAAGAAGTTGATTTTTTTTCTTTAAGAGGTTAAATCAAGATAGTGACAAAGTTCTACTATTGACAATGCTTCTTATTTGGTCCTTAGAAAAAGTGGCATGAAACTGCTATATTCCACAAACTAATTGGGCAACAGCACCACAACTTTTCTTACTTTCTGTGGCATAAAGCGACAAGAAATTTTGCCACTTTTCTAGGATGGGATGCTACTTAACTGTAGACTACTCCATCAACAGCACTTAATTAGCTTTCCTTGATAGTTTTCAGGTAACACCGGAGAGAGGCAGTGTAGGAACCCTTTTAAAACTCAAACCTGGGTTTTTCAATTCAGAGGCCTTCCCTGCCAACAGGCTCCCTTAGCATCCCAGTCTTTTCTGGCATTAAATAGACAGTTTGATTTACACTTTATTTTTTTGTGACATGTTGTTTAGCTCAAGCTGGTCTGTTTGATTAAAAGGTGTGATAAATTGAAATAATGAATTTCAGCTGGTGGTTTTATAGGCAGGAAGCTCTGTTTCTTATTTTGTTAGCTGACCACTGCCTTCATTTTGTTGATCAAACTTTTCCCAAAAAACCCATCAGCTTTTAAGGCTACTAATCTTTAGGGTGAAGCACCTCCAAGTTAAAAGAGGACATTGATTACCATTGTATCTATGTATTGTTTGTTCTCCTGATCATGTATTTTTTTTCATTGTTCATTTTGTTGTAAGATTGCTGAGGAGATCAGGCATATTCTTGATAATTATGATAAAGCTATTCCAGCTATTCTTGAGATTCCATCCAAGGAGCATCCCTACGACCCATCTAAGGACTCAATATTAAGAAGAGCAAAGGTATCTAGTTGACGCATTTTCTCCTCAATTTTGGAACGTATTTTTGTTAGTTATTATCTGCTTATGTGCATATTGTGCCAAAATTTATAATCACTTAATGCTTTTTCATGCAAAATGTCCTCCCCTTTCTCTTTTGTTAGAAAAATATCCTCATTAACTTTCATAAACACTGATTTATGTACTGTCAGAAACATGTTTATGTATGATACTTAAAATGGTTCAAAGTAAACTTTGGAAATAAACCCATGAATAAGAATTTCATGGTTATTTCCTGTTAGCTGACAATATAGTGAAAAAAAAGTGCATAGTTTGGGACTTTCCGCAATTCATTGTTGTTTGAGAAAGAAATAACAAGCTTGTTAAAAACAACAACAAAAACTTCTAGATGACATATGTATGTATCAGGAAATCAACTCAGCTATAATCTCTTTGATGGCTAATGGGCAATTCTTAAAGGCATTTTAAAATAAAGTCATGTAAGTAAACATCATTACTTTGGAAGGGAAGTCAGACTGAGAGAAAAATCTAAGTTTGCTCTGATTTAGTTGACACTGAGCACAGCTGTGTGCTGTATTTAGAATATAATAAATGATCCTTTGCCAATTTCAACATTTCATAATCCAATTTACTCTAATTGTCAAACTTTATCAACTTGTGGGTCTCCTGATTTCATTATTGAGCCTACTATAATATGCAGGGGCTATATGGACACCTGAGCCAAACTGTAAACAAGCAATTTTTCCTTTTTGCTTTTCAAAAGTCTCAGTACCACCAAACTAGACGACTCAGATCAGTGTATAAAAAATGCTTTATTTATGACATTCTGTGCCTCATTCAATACTTACCTAAGAAAAGCAGCCCACTCACTGCATTTATTCATTCTACTTAATTTAAAAGTGAAAATTGTTTGTGTGCATTTCCCATGGTGTAATCTGTACATCTGAACAACAGTTTATGTCAGATTGAAGCTGAAATCTCAGGTCATGTAGTAATCAAGTACTTTCTCTCTTCACTGTTAGGGTTTATTCAGTGCAGAGGACTTCAAGTAGTTATCCTGAAATGCTGCTTACAAGAACCAGTTATGAAGAGAATGAATTAGGAAAATTTGTGGAAAACTTAATTGTTATTTAACTATCAATAATCTTATTATTTTGATGGGAAGCTTGGAATTTGTACCTCTAAAAAGGTTACAGTTTCTGAACGGTGTGAAAATATCAGTTAGATGGATCTCAGTCAAAGTATATTGCAATAACTCTAGGAATGGAATACTTACTGATGGACTAACACCTTTGACTGAAATTGCAAGACCTAAATAGGAAGTTGGAAAGAAAATCTGAGAGTAAAACAATCAGAAACAGCAGAAAATAGATGAAAATGAGAGATCATGAACAGACTGTCAAAGATATGCTGTGTTTCTTATACCAGTCCCAATAAGTGTTCAGTGAAAACTTAACGGTTTAACTCCCTTGAGTTGCTGAGACAAAAATTGCGCTTAGAATACCAATACATTGTCAATTACACAATTGATGAGAATAAAGAAATTTATCAATATGGGGAATTTATATTTATTTCCACCTGTGTTTTCTACTCCATCAATGTTTTCCACTAGATCATAAGCGTGCGAGGAAAATCACAATGCTTCTTAGACAATTTCGTTCGAAGGTCCCAAGAAAATTAACTTCACGAACTACTGAATAGCATCTTATTTTAAAGCTCTTCCAACTGTAATTAGTCTTAACCCTTTAACTTCCATGAATGACCAAAAGAGAATTTCTCCGTACAATATCAGTACAATATCAGTACAATATCAGGCAGACAAGTGATAAGAGTAAAGAGAAATATCAATTTGGGGATAATTAGTTGATCCAATACTAAATTCTCAAAACCAACATTATAAAAATTGTATGGCCGGCTTTTCCTTTTTTTTTTTTTTTTACCCAAAATAAGGGGGGACCCGGGCCCTCCGAGCCCCTCCCCTAGATCTGCCACTGATAACAAATATACGTTGCTCGTCTAACTTCATGTCGTTTTAGGCCAGTTGTCGGGTATTTATGTGCGACAGTTGGCGTACATTTAATGGCTCACCGCTCGGAAGTGTTTGTGCATAGAATTCTGCAAACTTCGGATATCTACCGCAGACGTTTCAGGAATATTAACCCGCGGTTGGCCAGAGAATTGAGATTAGGAAGAGGGTATCGTTTACAAACAAAAAAAACCTGGCCCTTCAGAGAGTGTAAAATCCAGTGAGAAATTTGGAAAAAGGAAGTTTATGATACGAATAATAGTCTTCGTGGCTTATACATGACCCATTGTTGTATGTGCATCACTTATCACATTCTCCTTCGTCTCAATAAGACTGTCAGTTTTAAACAGAACATACATAAAACTCTTTTTTCTAGGTTACGGGAACATCGCAATCGACAGAAATGAAATTTAAGAGAAAAATTTTCATTCAGGCTCATATTGCATCGACTTTCATGACATTTGGTGGCTCCTAAAGGAGCCGTTTGTTTTAGGCGGGAAACCCACAGAGTGAGTTTACTTGCTGCTGGTGTACTTGGTCACAGCCTTGGTTCCTTCACTTACGGCGTGTTTAGCCAGTTCGCCGGGCAGAAGCAGCCTAATGGCGGTCTGGATCTCGCGAGAGCTGATGGTTGATTTCTTGTTGTAGTGGGCGAGACGGGATGCTTCGGTGGCGATGCGCTCGAAGATGTCGTTAACGAACGAGTTCATGATGCCCATGGCTTTGCTGGAGATACCAGTGTCAGGGTGAACTTGCTTCAACACTTTGTAGATGTAGATGGCATAGCTTTCCCTTCTCTTTCCTCTCCTCTTCTTCTTTCCATCAACAATAGCCTTCGCCTTTCCGGCTTTCTTCTCGCCCTTCTTTCCTGCAACTTTAGCTGGCATCTTGTTCAATAACGAAGATTGATGGTTGTGTAGCGTTGTTCGGTTTGTATTTATATCGGAATCGTGAAAGGATCTATTACCATACGGATCGAAATTCTCGATCGATGATTGGCTTATTCTTATACTGACCCCGGGGTCAATTGGCATGACATTCTCTCTTTATTCAAATATATTACTAGGATATTAAATTATATGAAACTTGCTACTGATTGGTGCTTTTCGATCCTTCCAGCATAATAAACGAACTATAAATATCAAAAGTGGTAAAAAGTTTACCATGCACTCTTGCTGAAAGCACTCAAAGCAGTTCGTATCGACATGTCTGGTCGCGGTAAAGGTAAAGCTAAGGGCACCAAGTCCAAGAGCCGCTCATCCCGAGCAGGGCTTCAATTCCCAGTTGGTCGTATCCATCGTCTTCTCCGCAAAGGCAATTACGCGGAACGTGTTGGCGCTGGTGCTCCTGTGTATTTGGCTGCTGTGCTCGAATATCTGAGCGCTGAAATCCTCGAGTTGGCAGGCAACGCTGCGCGTGACAACAAAAAGACAAGAATCATTCCCCGTCACCTTCAGCTGGCTGTCCGTAATGATGAGGAGTTGAACAAACTGCTCGCCGGGGTCACCATCGCACAGGGAGGTGTTCTTCCCAACATCCAGGCCGTACTTCTGCCTAAGAAGACTGAGAAGAAACCCAAGGCCTAAATCAGCTTTAACACGTTTAAAAACGGCTCCTTTAGGAGCCACCAAATATTACAAAAGTCTTAACCAACTAGATACGATAGAGTGAACATGAATAAGGAGAACCGTTCTTGATAGTCTATCAAGTAATGATTAACTAGTATATCACTTAAAAACCCTTCCTCTCTAGTTTCTAGTTTATAAAATCTGCAGTATCTCGGAAAATGAATGTTGTTTAAAGACCAAATGCATTTTATAAAACTTTCGCGCGCCAAAATCTAGCCCCATCGAAAATTTACCCGACCCAAATGCGTGTGAGAACTTTCGCGCCTAAATCGTTAGTCGTTACACTTCTGTTATGTCGACGTCACAAGCGATTATAAGAAACTGCACCTGAATATGATGATTGTGATTTACACATGTATTGCTCGGTATCTATTCATGCGAGAAACAAAACGAAACTCGGGATGGAAAAAAAGCTAACATTGATCTTATGAAAGTTCCTAACAAGCGGGCTCAGTGGTTGCAACTGAGAAAAAATAGTACAAATAATTCACATGTAAAGCACAAGGTTAGAGAACGAAAAGAGAAGGCGAAGCCAGGCTTCAAACCTTGCACGCTAGGGAGATTTCATTTATCACTCCTAGTTTGTGGGCAAACTCCTTTTATTTTTCCTGCGCCACTTAAACTCTTTTTGTAAGTAAGAAGTAGGAGCGAAGTATATAGAATCTAAATGGACTGCATAAAAGCAAACTTATTTATTGGTCAGGACTTCCCTTAGATTTGGTGGCTCCTAAAAGAGCCGTTTTCTTGTCAGTGGTGCCTGTCTAACCGCCAAAGCCGTATAGAGTGCGGCCTTGTCTCTTCAGAGCGTACACAACATCCATGGCTGTGACAGTCTTTCTCTTGGCGTGCTCTGTGTATGTCACAGCATCACGGATCACATTCTCGAGGAAAACTTTTAGAACGCCACGAGTCTCCTCGTAGATCAGGCCAGAAATTCGCTTGACACCGCCACGGCGGGCAAGACGACGGATGGCTGGTTTGGTAATACCTTGGATGTTATCGCGAAGAATCTTTCGGTGACGTTTGGCGCCCCCTTTTCCTAGACCTTTACCGCCTTTACCTCGACCAGACATGTTGATTAATGCTCATGTGCAAGAGTTATGAAAACTGAGTGTACGTTATTACAATTTATTGGGAAAGATATGACCTCTCAGAAAGCAGTGTGGAAATACATGTTGCTATTGGTTGAGGAAAAATATCTAATCATAATTATCACTGCAGTATTAACATGTATAAACATAAATCACACGGTGTTCTGCGTGCGCTAATTTTATAGTAGAAAACAACTCTGTTGCATCTAGAAGTCAGTTGTGAACCACATTAAGAAAAGGTTAAGCATTCTAGTTATCCTACGTGGAAAAATTAAGGGGTGGATAGTTCTTAATTTATGCTCAAACGACCTTTCAGTTATTTCGGATCAAAATATAATCACATATCTGAGAAATAATTCACAGATTTCGTACCTAACCAATCAAATCTCTTGATTTCCAACCAATCAGAAACAAGCCCGCCAGGTATAAATCAATTTCTCAGTTAAATTTATCTATTTTCATTCATTCCGAGTCTTTGATCAAGATGGCACGTACGAAACAAACTGCACGAAAATCGACCGGTGGAAAAGCTCCACGTAAACAACTCGCCACAAAGGCAGCTCGTAAGAGCGCTCCTGCTACCGGCGGAGTTAAGAAACCTCATCGTTACAGGCCTGGTACAGTAGCTCTTCGTGAGATTCGTCGTTACCAGAAATCCACTGAGTTGTTGATCCGCAAGTTGCCCTTCCAGCGTCTGGTGCGAGAAATCGCTCAAGATTTCAAGACTGATCTGCGTTTCCAGAGCTCGGCTGTGATGGCTCTTCAAGAAGCTAGCGAAGCTTACCTCGTTGGTCTTTTTGAAGACACCAACTTGTGCGCCATCCACGCCAAGCGTGTCACGATCATGCCCAAGGACATTCAGCTGGCCCGCCGAATCCGCGGAGAACGAGCATAAGCAGACTCCACTTCAAATCACAAACGGCTCTTTTAGGAGCCACCACATAAAGAAAAGCAATGACCAATCTATGAGCCCCTGTTGACCTAACAATAAATTCTTAAAATTTAAAATGTGACACTGAAGAGAAGTTGAACCCATTGAAATTGTTACACCATGTTTGCTCGGTGCGCGTCTTGGCGACAATACAGACATATAAGTTATGTCTGGCCTATATCCGTGCTTAGGAACACACCATGTCTTCATTTCTTAAGTAACCTAAAGAAACTAACCTTACCTTTCTTCATTTACACTTCGCGCATGTTATTTTGGCGCTAATATTATATGAATATGCCGCGATAACTGATACATTTTGCCATCTTTTGGATCTGTTTCTTACATCACGATACTTGTTTTCTCACGCTTGACTTTCATGCTGCATGAAATGTAAAATTGCAATGTAAACTACACTTACTTCTTTCGAATTAGCACACCGCTTATCAAGTCAAGTATGAAAAGGCGGACGTCATAGGTTTGTTCTTCTTGTTCGAATTTAGAGGTCGGCCTTCCTTTGAATATGCATCATTTTCTTCATACAAAAGCGAAATTAAGGACCCTTTCCATCCTGCCGTAACGTTATGATGTAACTAAACTTAAATTTTCTTTTCTGGGGTAGTTGGTCGGACGGGAATCCGGTACCTACTAAATTGTGTCGGACAAATTATTCCCATTCGATCGATAATTAAATAAACTGGATATTCGCAAATAGTCTGCTGTTTCGCGTCCCTCTAAATCGCACACCTCACCTCAGAGGAAGCCTACTGCAGCGTTTAGCAAAAAGATTACATTGCCAACTAATTATAAGTTTTTTTTCGTGAATGAATTTGCCACATTTTGAGAATATATTCTCTCTAACTTAACTCCGTTCTTAGCATGAAAATCTGATCAGTAGTCGACAGCACGCAACCGTCAACCGGTTCATGCAAAACTGTCTTTTCAGTAAAGCAAGGCAAACCACCAAAATAACCTCAGAGCGTTTTTCAATCGCCCTTCGTTTTCAAACGATTGCTTCAATGTTACCCCATCTCCAAGTCTTTTTCTTTGTTCGAGACATTTAGCATACCTCTTATTAAGGTCACGTATGAAATGGCGGACGTTATAGTTTTGTTCTTCTTGTTCAAGTTTAGTGGCTGCTCTGCCTTTGAATATGCATCGAAAGGCTATGTATTTCATACAAACAAAAAATTAAGGAATCAGTCTTTCTGATAATTCTTAAAATGCTGATAAAAGGTGACTTAAACTGAAGTTCTTTGCGCATTTTTCCAAAGTTCTTTCGTAGTCTTACCGCGTTGTAGATTTTTGAGCCTTAAATGTCATTCTTAATTTGAGTAATTTAAAGTAAATTTTACATCCACATTTTATGAGAGAACGTAGCTAAGTTTTCTATAAATAGAAAAGATCTGAAGTAATTGAATAAGCTCGTTATCGACCAAAATGTCAAGCAAACTAACACAGTTTAGACGACGCCATTGTAGTCTAACCCTGTTTCCTCAGTGGTCCGTAAGTGAGGCATAATAATTCTTTGCGCGCTTTAAGCAGTCATTACTTGTCTTAGTTCCGAAGGTTTTACAGCACACAACATGTCCGAAGCAAAGTCACCAGCTAAGAAGAAGCCAGCTGCGCCCAAAAAGCCAGCCGAGCATCCACCTTACGCAGACATGATCAAAGCTGCTATCTTAGCGTTGAAAGAGCGAAATGGTTCTTCCCGCCAAGCCATCGAGAAGTACATCAAAGCCAACTACAAGGTGGATGAGGTTGGCTCGCACTTGAAGATGGCTTTGAAGAGGGGCGCCACTAGTGGAAAGTTTGTCCACACCAAGGGAGTCGGTGCTTCTGGTTCGTTTAAGTTAGCTAAGGAAGAAAAGAAGGAGAAGAAGCCAAAGAAAAAGCCAGCCGCAAAGAAGAAGCCTGCAGCCAAGCCAAAGAAACTTGCCGCCAAGAAGACAGCGAAGAAACCAGCGGCGAAGAAGGTTGCAAAGAAACCCGCCGCTAAAAAGCCAGTAGCGAAGAAACCAGTGGCTAAAAAACCAGCGGCAAAGAAGCCTGCGGCTAAAAAACCAGCTGTAAAGAAGACCGCAGCTAAAAAGCCCGCCAAGAAAGCAGCGAAGAAATCGCCAAAGAAGACCACCAAGAAATAAAAACCCAAGGAGGGAAGCAACTCTTCACCAAACGGCTCCTTTAGGAGCCACCACATTTAAGAAAAAGTTATTATCAACTGAGTGTTGATATAGCCTTCGGTAATCCAGTGTAAATTAACGATATTTTCAATCGTGGACCATGATAAATACTTGCATTAGAGAGCAGATTCGCATTGAACCCGCTGACAAATCTTTAAACTCTTGCAGTAACCCCCATTTCATTAACTTTAACAGTAATATCCCAAAACATTTCATAAAATCTTGAGAAGAAAGTTCATTGTCTCCAACCTTGAAATTTTGATTGTTGAACAAATTATTCTTGTCAGTACTACCAAAGGAAATATATTAAGAAGTACCGTATTTACCCGTGTATAATGCGCGCCCGTGTATAATACGCACCCTAATTTTTTACCTCTTTTTTCCGAAAAAAAAGATTTCATGACAAATACCAAGAATTAAAACTTCCATTTTTTCACTTAATTAACAAGAGCTGGGAATTAATCAATAATATGTTTACAACAATTTCTAACTAGTTGCTACTAAAAATATCGCACGCACCGAGCACCTATTTACAAGCTTTTTTATTCAGTAACAGTCAAACGTT